GTTTTCTGCCACAGGTACTGACCAGCAGGGGCCAGGCCAGGGCTCCCACAGATCACAGACTGGACTTTCTTCAAAACCTGCTGGCCCAGGAAACGCCTTGCAAGCCACTGCAGGAAGGGATGTGGGCCAAAGCTCCCGGGAATCGAAGCTAATTTTCAGTTGTTTGGGAGGCAGCTCCCGGTGACTCACCGTTTAGGCTGTTGTGACCCAGGCCAGCAGCCAGGGGCTGCCGGGATTTACCTTGTTAAAAATCAAAAGGAAGCAGTCAGCAGAGGTGCCTGTGACCCATGCTGCTGGGTGGCCCTGGGCAGCTGGATGCACCTCTCTGGCCCCACTGCCCCCTAGTCCTCTCTAAAGTCAGGTGGGCTGAGATGGAGAGAGCCCCAGGAAGAATTAAAGCCGGAAATGGGAGGGGTGGGAGGCAGGGCTCCCCAAATGCGTCAATGCTTACTGGACTTCTCCTGTCCAAAAGCATAATCCCCATCACTGGCAGCCTCCCTCTGTCCCAGAAGCACCCTGCCCTGGGACTCCGCCATCCCAGGCATTGGGTCTGGAGGCCTTCCAGGCTGTAGCCGGGCTGCATCTTGGCTTTGGCGGGGGACCAGGGACCCTTCTGAATTTACACAGATAAATCTCTGTCTATATGCATTGACTTGATCAGTACAAAAATGAATATCCACCCGGGCGATATGTTTGTCCCTTTCCTCTGGTTTTCAAGAGAGGGCGTTTGGCCCAGGGGGTGTGACGTGGGAGGGCAGTGGGGAAGCAGGAGGCTCGGTTGGAAGTCTCAGGAGTCCCTGAGCGGCACCACCTGTCTGGCGCTTGACTACTACCACGAAGGTGGGCAGTTCAAACCCACCTGGAGGCCCCGGGGAAGACGGGGCTCTGGCAGCTGCTTTGGAAATGGCATGACCTCAGAAACCCTGCGACACGTGGGTCACCATGGCACAGAGCCAGTTTCCCAACCACTGTGGGTTGGGGTTTTCTATTTTATTTGACAGTAGCATGGGCTCTAAGCACAGGGCCAATAGTGCCTGGTGGACAAGTCACAGCCCTTGTTAGCTCTCTGGACTGCCTGGGTCCAAATCCTAACGCTCCATGTACTGAGGTGCGTGCCTGTTTTCCCATCCGTTAAATGGGGTTTCTCAGACCAACTCATCAAGGAGCTGTCCGAGGGGTCGCTGAGATCCGTCTGGTGAAGGACCTGGCACGGTGCCCCACTCGGAGCGGGTATTCAGTGAGAGCTGGCCACTTATTTCACATGAGGCTCCAAGTCCCCCTGAAGGAGGTGCGGCCGCATTGTGGAGACAGGAAAACTAAGGTCAGAGTAAGGGGAGGCCTTGTAACAAGGGGTAGAACCCATACTCCCCAGCCTCAGTCAGGCAGCTCCCAGAACCTGAACGTGGCCGGAAGTGGGTGGTTGAGTGATCCCAGCCACAGACCAGGAACCAGGAGGCCAGGGAAGGGAGAATCACAGGCAGGTCAGGCAGGGCCATGGCCGATGGTGTCAGGGGAACTCAAGCCTTCAGTTCTGCCTGAGTGCAGTCAAATGTGGCAACTGTGAGCCCAGGACCAGGGGGGCGTTGGCCATGTCTGGCCACGTAGGGCCAGGCCTAGCATAGGACAAGAAGGGCTTGGGTCCTGGAGGCTCGCCTGCCTCTCACTGGCCTCCAGCTTCCTCATAAAATCGGCCTCCATGTGCTGGCTGGACAGGGGGACATCAGCCCCCGGACAATGTCCCAGGATGTGTGGAGTGCGTGTGGGTTCCCGCTGACTGGGAGAGAGCGCCCTGCAGCACCCAGAAGCCACATCTGGGAGTGTTTTCACGGCTTCCCAAATAAGCAGGGGCCAGCGGGGGAGGGAACAAGAAGGGCATCTCAGCCTCACTGTTCTTGGACCAATGGCCCTCCAGGGGCCCTGGCCCAGCTGGCTGTGTGGCCAAGCAGTTCAGCAAGTCTGTGCCACACCCACTTTGGAGAATGTTCTAATCGGGAATGGGTGAGGAAGGGAGAAAGAGGGCATTCAGCATTTCTATACAATGTCTCTGGGCCTCAGCTGCCCCATCAGTAAAATGGGCCTGCGAAAGACAATAGGAAGAATGCGGCACTGGACTCGCAGAATAGAGGGAAAGAAGGAAGTGTGCGGGCAGGGTGGTGGACAGAGCCATAGATGTGCCACCCTCCCATGAAATAAAACCTCCCTGGAAGTAGAAGCCGAGGGCCCGGGCTGCCTCCTCCCCCATCGGCTAGACTCGCCGCCGAAGCCCTGGAAGGATCATTGCATCACTGGCCATCAGAGGGTTAATGATGGGGAGTGGACAGCACTGGGTATTTAACCAATTGGGGAGGTGCCCTGAGATCAGAGGTACCACTGCTACCTGGCTGCTTGCTGCGCCCAGCTCCTGGCCCCCTTGCTCACGCCCCTCCCTGGGATGAGGCCACCCCCTCTTCTCACCTGCCTTTGCCTCCAGGGTAAGTGACCCCTCTGACCTTCCCCCTCCCTGGATGCCACTGAGCCTACCCAGCAGGACTTAGTGGGGGAGTGGGGCAGGGCAGGAACTCAGAGCTTCAGGCCACCTCCTCCTGCCCCTGGGGTCATCCTGAGGTCCTTTGCCTGAGCCGGTGCTGATCAGTGGAGGAGAAGAGGGAAGCCTGGGAGGAGTGGGGGTCACGGGCAAAGGGGGGCCAGCTGCCACAGGCAGCTCTGGGCCATGTTCATTCCATCCCCTGCCCCCCCTTGGTGTCCATTTTCATCCTACATGTTCCCTATCGGGAGGGGAGGGGCCCAGGAGGCCAAGGTGGTTAGAAAACTAGCGTGGGACATGTGATGGAGTCTGGGGGGACAAGGGGACCCCGAGGGACCAGCAGGAATGGGTGGCAAGGAGCTGTTGTGGGAGACAGTGTGCCGGCCTAGTGGGTGAGGACCGAGATTGGGGTGCAATGGGGAGCATCTGTGTATCACTGTTGGGAACTGAGCTGAGCTTAGTATCTGGAGAGATGTGGGCACCAGATTTGAGGGGACACCAGAGGAATTTGGATGCCGCCGGGGAAGGGTGGCCTGGGTGGACCCCGGGTGGACCCCGGATGGCCCTCGGCTCGTGGCCCCACTCCCCACAGTGGCCCTGGCCAGCGGGAACCTGCTGCAGTTCGGGGTAATGATCGAGAGGATGACGGGGAAGCCAGCCCTGCATTACAATGACTATGGCTGCTACTGCGGCATCGGGGGCTCCAACTGGCCCGTGGACCAGACCGACTGGTGAGAGCGCTGGGGACAGCTGGGAAGTGGAGGCTGGAAGCTCCCTGGGGGCTCTGGTTCCCTGGGCAGCCCCTGGCCGTGCCCCCATGGCTCCTGGCTCCTCAAGTTGACCGTGACACCCCCCTCGCACCGCCCCCTGCCAGGTGCTGCCACGCCCATGACTGCTGCTATGGGCGCCTGGAGAAGCTGGGCTGTGAGCCCAAACTGGAGAAGTATCTGTTCGCCCCCAGCAAGCACAACATTGTCTGTGGTACGTCCAAGTCCAGAGCCACCTTTGCCCTACAAGTGCCTGCCTGGGACAGCTAGGGGACAGCTCAGACAGGAAGGACCTTCTGATGGTGACCTCCTCAGAGCCTGTCCTCTGGCTGAGGGTGAGTGCAGGAGGCCAGTGCACCTGCCTCAGCCCAGAAAGCCCCCACGTGCCCCTCCCACCCGGCTCAAGCCTCTTCGAGGAGGAGCAGAGGGGCTGAGCTCACAGACTCCTCCCCAGGGCAGGGCCTGGAGGATCCCGTCCAGCCCGGAGTTGCTGTGGGCCAGCAGACCCGGTTCCCCGGGCTGGCCTCCCAGGGCTGGGCCAGTTTGCGCCAGTCTGCAGTGACCCTGCCGGGGCAGTGCAGCTCCACAGAGGACAGGGAGGGTCAGAGATCCATCGGGAGCCGCCCACAGGGAGGGCAGGGCCAGGAGCGTGGCCTGCGGTGCGGTGCGGTGAGCCTTCGCAGGAGGACAGGGAGGCTCAGAGAAGCCACAGCACAGGTGGCCAACATGTGTGCTGGGGGCAGGGCAGACGTGGCTGCAGAGGGCAGAGCGGGGACAGGAGCCACCAGGGACAGCTTTGGTTCCTGCTCCTGGAGCCTCCAGTCTGAGGGACAGCTCTGTGAGGGCGTGAGCACCCCATCACCGGGGCTCAGGCAATGCCAAAGATGACTCCTGTATGTGAGGGGGTGCGGAGGGGGCGCAGGAGTCTCCCTAGTGCAGCGGTTCTCAACCTGTGGGTCACGACCCCTTTGGGGGTCAAACAACCTTTTCACAGGGGTCGCCAGATTCATAACAGTCACAAATTCCAATTATGAAGTGGCAACGAAAACAATATTAAAGGGTCATAGCATTAGGAAGGTTGAGAACCACTGCCCCAGGGCTTCGCCTTCTACCCATGTGTGACACTTGGGACAAGGCACGCGCCATACCCCTTCCTAGTCTCAGTCCTGGTGAGCACCCCCCAAAGAGGTTGAAGCCCCTTGGAGTCCCTGCTGGAAGAGCAGGTGTCGGCAGAGCCTGGGTGGAAAGGGGAGGCTGGCCTTTGAGGAGGGAAGGGGAGACCTGGAAGTTTCTGAGCTGCGCCCTGCACTGGGGGGACAAATGGAGCCCAAGACATTGTGGGCGGGCAGAGGCAGCTGAAGCAGAAGAGGAGGCCTGGGTTCCCAGGGCCTGGAGCGCTAATGCCACATCAGGGTGGCAGTCTGGTTCTCAGTCCAGCCTAGGGGCTCTATGTTACACGCCTGGGCAGTGGGCTCTGTCCATGCCGAGGACAGAGGGCCCCAGAGGCCACACGCTTTGGTCTCCATGGCCTCCAGTCTGGGCACAGGCTGCTCTGGGGCACACACTGACCAACCATCTCGTTGTCTAGCTGTCCCTCTGCCAAAGCTCCACCACCAGCTGTGCGTTCCTGGGGCGGGGGGTGGGGGGGCAGTGCCCCAAAGCCCCATGTGCTGGGGCAGTGAGTCAGTGATCCAGACTGTTCCCCCAGGGCAGCAAAGCACAAGGGACTCAGAGGACAGGAGGGGCAACTAGGACTAACTTCCCACCTCCTCAGTGTACGCCCCCGCAGGCCCGTGTTCTGCCCTGAAACATCCCCCGGAGGGTGGGCTTCTATCACAAGGGGGTCAGAACCAGGAGCTGCCCTCGGCTGTCACATGTGTGTGAAGCCAAGACCTCCTGGATTCTCCTGGTCCCTAACTCTGTGTCCCATCCAGCCGGCAGGACCACCTGCCAGCGGCTGACCTGCATGTGTGACAGGAAGGCTGCACTCTGCTTTCGCCACAATCTGGGCACCTACGACCGCAAATACGCCCATTACCCCAACAAGCTGTGTACTGGACCCACCCCGCCCTGCTAAGCCTGCACTGGGCCCACCCCACCCACCCACCCACATGCCCCAGGTGCCCTTAGGAATGCTGGATGGAGCCCCGGCCACAGCAGCTCCAAAGGCAAAGTGCAATCTTGCTTCCCCCCCTCTGGACAAATCCTTTCCTGGAGATACATCCCTACCTGGAGGCCCCCAGACTGTGGCTGGCCTGACACCGCCAGTCTCCTGGCCACCTCCTCCCCTCAGCAGCAGCCTCGGGACCCCACAGCATGCAGAAGGTTCCACGAGCCCCCTCTGAGAGCTCCACGGGGCCTTCTGAATGTGTGAATAAAGCACCTCTTAATGCTAACAGCCTTCAACGCTCCACTTCTGTTATTCTGGGACTTGGTCTACAGCTCCATTCGCTCTCGTTCCTTTTTGAACATCTGCTCCGTACCACCACCACCAAGAGCCCTTCCTGTGCCACGCCAACCTGCTGGTAGCTGGTCTGTGTGATTCTAACATTCTCCAGTCTTATCCACGGCGGACAACAGCAATCTCCGGCAACATTTTTGGCTACATGGCGTTAACAGGCCAACCTCCTCATGGTGCTCCCCCGTGTCGTCGGGCCTGAAGTCTCCACCGTAAGCAATTCAAAGGCTGGTCAGGAGGGAAAAGGAGCTCTAGGATCAACTCTTCTGGGACCGACGAACAGAGGAGGTGGCATGCTGACCACTTGGCTACACTGCATTGCTTCCTCCGTTGCTCTCTGCCGTGGACACTCTGGGATGGCCGTGGTAGCCTGGCTGATGTGCCACCTTCTCAGACAAAGCACCATTCCTGGGGCAGGTGTGCTGTGTGAAGCTCCGGCGGGGGGTGAGGCTCCCAGAAAGGGAGGGAAGGATCAGTCCCAATTTAAACAGCATCTTCCCCCTCCAACCACCTGGCTCTGATGCAGTCTACTCTGGAAGCCACAGCCTGCAGCAGATCTGACTCGTAAGGCTCGATGAAGCCCAGCCCCCCACACCACTGGGGAAAGGTCCGCTGCCTTCAGCTTTCCTGGGGGGAAGGCAGGAAGGAGCAGGTGAAATAAAAGGGTGAGTAGCCCTCAACTTTAAAAGGTGGAGTTCTGTGCTGGCAAAAGAAGAAATAAAGGAGGGAGAGCAGAAAAGAGGTCAGGTGTGTGCACTCAACTGGCTCAAATCCTTGTTAAATAATCACCAGGCCTGACCTCTGAATCCCTGTCTGACTTAAAAGTAAAAATGGGTGGTGGTTGGAGAGCCTTTGGTTTGATGGGAAAAGTGGTCCGGGATCGCCCTCTGGTGTCCGTTTTATTCAGGCTTCTAGGAGACCAGTTGCCTGGAGCGAGCCAACAGAGCAGACTGGGTCTCCGTTCTTATTTTTAAGAAGTACTCAGACATCACTGGGCCGTTCTGAGACACCTCTAGATGGACTCGACTCCTCAGCCTTTCCGTTCTCAGCTGAATGCTCTGGCCATCTGCACCGTCTGAGCACCCAAAGATGGCTTAACCCTGGACTGTCCCTCACCAGGTAGGAAGATGGTTCTGGGCCAGTGAAGCTGGACCCTCCTCATTCCCAGTAAGAAAGATGCTAGCGCATTGCCCAAAAAGACCTTACAACTATCCTGAAATGCTGGTTCCGCAGGAAACAGGGAGGGAATGCTCTGGGCATGATAAACTTCAGGTACCAATGGGGCGTATGACCAGTGGTGGTGGTGACGTTTTATCACCATGTGACAATGTGAAAATAGAACCCAAGAACAAGACCATAGCCCGCCCGTTATGAGTCACCCCTCTCGGTCTCCCAAGCACACGAGGCCTTGCCCTTTGCCCTCTTTGTGCTCAATACGTTAGAGTGAATAAATAGGTCTGCCTAAATTCTGTGTGTGTGTGTGTGTGTGTGTGCTTGTGCACACAGGTGTATGTATGTATAGTACAAACCCGTGATCTCCAGCTGCAGAGTTACAAAGGGGATTGAAAACAAACAAAACAAGCAGAGACGACCCTGAACGTGAAGTCAGAGGGTCCAGCTATAGCCCTTGGCCCTGTGCCTCCACAGCAGCAGGCCTGTTCTCAGGCCTCGTGCTCACAGTGAGATCAGGGAGAGCGGCTGCCGCAGCAACGAGGACCTGGTTAAACAGGCAGTCTCAAAGCCCAGCCCAGAGGCGCTGCACCGAGGAAGAACGCCCGGTGACTTGTGTGCCTGGCACACTCCGAGCGGCTCTCCTCCGTGGCCACGGCCTCGGCGTCTACGTCAGTAAGACAGAAAGAATGCTGTGGTTTGGTCTTCCCGAGGCTTAATTGGGTTAGCACATGTGGACGCCCACGGAGGACCACCTAGCCCATAATAAACACCCATGTCTGATGGATGAATAGAACTAAGAAGCCTTTGCCATCAGCGCCAGCTCCTGGGAGCCTGTGTGTCAAAGCGGGATTTCTTTTCTTTCAAAACTTTTTGTGAATTAAATAACAGAGCAGATCATGGTTCCACAACTATTCAACCACTCATGCACATTCTGACCCAAAGCACCCATGCGGTCCCCACCACGTACCCTCAATTATCCCGCCTTCTTCCCACATCTCGTTTTGGTTCCTCCTCCTTTCCTAACCCACTTGAGCTCTGTCCTTGGGAAAATGCTGCCCTTTGGATCCTAAACGGTTCATTAATCTAATGTACATATGAGTTCAGTTCCATCCCTGAAGGGGAAAGGGCCTTGGGGGTAACAACAGTCTCTAGCAGACCAATACTCCTGGTCTCTTTTATGATTTTGAGCTTTGCTCCACATTGCTCTCCCACTCTACCCACGGCCTTCTAATGCAATCCTTTCCGGAGCAGTTGGTAGCTGTAGTCAGGCACCACCAAGTTCTCCTGGTCTCCGGGTCATAGAGGCTGTTGTTTGTGTATTGGCCCGTTAGTCCACTGGACTAAGTTTCCATGAATTTTCAATGTTCTTCACTCTTCTTCCCTGCAGACTGGGAGAGACCAATATTTGCACCTGAGAGCTC